GGGGTCCCAAGGGTGCCCATGGAGTCTGGGGGGTTCCTGCAGGGTCGGGGGTGCCCATGGGACCTGGGGGTGCCCTCTGGGTTTGGGGAGCGCCCACTGGGTCTGAGGGCTCCTGATGACCAGGACAGCTGGTCCCTGAAGGTGTGCAGTTCCCAGAGTGTGTGTTCACGCCCATCTCTACATGCGTGTGCAGAATGACGTGTGCATGTGTGCAAGTGGGTGTCTGCACGTGGGCGGGGTTGTGTTCACGCCCACGTGGGGGGGGTAGGTTGCACACAGGGGTGTTTGCAGTGTCTGTGTGCTGTCCGTGCACACGTCTGTGTGGCGTTTACATGTGTGAGCCGCCGTGCGCTTGTGTGCCTGGTGTGTGCGTGCACACGTCCGTGTGTACGTGCTTGCACAGGACTGGGTGTGCACATGCACATTGCACGTGTGTGTGCCTGCATGTGCATGCATTGGTGCGTGCGCTCTGGTGCACAGGCACATGTACGCGTGTGCACGTCCGTGCGTGCGCGCACCTCCCTGTGTCAGTGTGTACCCTGTGCACGTGCAGGTCTGTGTGTGTCTGTGCACACGTGTGCGTACCTGTGTGCATCCCTGTTCCCGTGCACACGTGTGCCTTGGTGCTTGTGTGCTCACAGCGTGAGTGACCGTGCCCTCTGCCGCAGGCCATCGAGCTGCCGGACTCCTTCTCCCCCGAGCTGCGCTCCCTGCTCGAGGGGCTGCTGCAGCGAGACGTCAACCGGCGGCTGGGCTGCATGGGGCGCGGGTGAGTCACGGCGGGCACCGGGGCGGTGCCCGGGGCCGGGGCGGAAGGCAGGCAGGGAAGGAGGGTGTGCTGGTGCAGCACCCCGGCCCCAGGGTTGCAGCCGGGAGCCTGCAGCGCTCACCCCCTCTCTCTCCCCAGGGCTCAGGAGGTGAAGGAGGAGCCCTTCTTCAAGGGCCTGGACTGGCAGATGGTTTTCCTGCAGAAGGTGAGGGGCACGACACCCGGGCACGGGAAGGGGTACGGGGGAATGGGCAGCCACCCCCGCGGGTGAGTCGCGGCGGGCGCCGGGGCGGTGCCCGGGGCCGGGGCGGAAGGCAGGCAGGGAAGGAGGGTGTGCTGGTGCAGCACCCCGGCCCCAGGGTTGCAGCCGGGAGCCTGCAGCGCTCACCCCCTCTCTCTCCCCAGGGCTCAGGAGGTGAAGGAGGAGCCCTTCTTCAAGGGCCTGGACTGGCAGATGGTTTTCCTGCAGAAGGTGAGGGGCACGACACCCGGGCACGGGAAGGGGTACGGGGGAATGGGCAGCCACCCCTCTAAAACCCCTTTCCTGCCTGCAGTACCCGCCGCCCCTGATCCCACCCCGCGGTGAGGTGAACGCGGCCGACGCCTTCGACATCGGCTCCTTCGATGAGGAGGACACGAAGGGCATCAAGGTACCGGGGGCGGAGGGGCTGAGCGTGGTGGGGCTGAGGTGGCAGGCAGCCCCTAACCCAGCGACGCCTGCCTGCCTCCCTGCCCGCCAGCTGCTGGAGAGCGACCAGGAGCTCTACCGCAACTTCCCACTCACCATCTCGGAGCGGTGGCAGCAGGAGGTGACAGAGACCGTCTTCGAAGCCGTCAACGCCGACACCGACAAGCTGGAGGCCCGCAAGAAGGCCAAGAACAAGCAGCTGGGCCACGAGGAGGGTGAGTGGGGCCGGGTGCCCCCCGGCTTCACCCAACAGCCCCCCAGCTCTGCCCGGCCCCCTGGCCGTGCCCTGGGCTGACCCTGCCTCTCCCCGGCGCGGCGGGCACAGAGTACGCCATGGGCAAGGACTGCATCATGCACGGGTACATGGCCAAGCTGGGCAACCCCTTCCTGACGCAGTGGCAGCGCCGCTACTTCTACCTCTTCCCCAACCGCCTCGAGTGGCGTGGGGAGGGCGAGTCGCCGGTAAGGCGGGCGCGGGGCAAGGAGGGGGACACAGGGCGGTGCAGGGCGAGCACGGTGCT